ATTTCTCAATTTTTTTCTTTTTATTATAAAAGTAATACATACTCATAAAACTATTCCAGTAGTATAAAAATGTATAAAACACACTCAAAACTACCTATTTTTTCCTCTCCCTGCATCCCATCATACACATACACATACACAAACTCCCCAAAGATAACAATTAGTACGTTTTTATACAGTACATTGTCAAACATTTTTGTACATTTTTTAAAAATTTAACACAACTGCAGTCATACCATATATACTGCTTTCCAGCTTTTTTTCCCATTATTATATAGCACCAATATATTGAAGAAATCTTTAGATGTCAGCACATATATGTCTGTCTCATTCATTTTTGAACACCTGCATAATAATGTGTTAAGAGGCTGTATTGTTTACTGTTACGTACCATTATTTAGGTAGTCAATGTTCTATATTTCAATTTTTTTGCCATTAATAATGCCATAATGAACATTCCTAAGTGCATATCTTTGTATACTTATGAAAGTTTATAGGATATTATCCTGAAAAAAAAATACTTCTGGAAGTGAAATTCCTGAATCAAAAAGTAAACACAATTGAAATTTTTATAATGGCTCCCAAGTTGCTCTACACAAGGATTGTACCAATATATACTCACAGCCACATTTAAGAGAGTGCTGTTTCTCTAAATCTTTAACATACTAGATATTACTAGCTTTTTAATCTTCCTGTATCTGGTAGATAAAAAGTGGTATCTTATTTTAATTTACATTTATTTAATTATAAATGCAGTTACAGATTATGCTATATGTTGTCCATTTATATTTATTAATGTTTCTTTGGACTGTCAGTGTCCTTTGCTCATTTTTCTCTTGAGTTTTTTTGTCATCTTCTATAACACTTTCCAACCTGAGGAAATGAACCCCTTCAAATGTTATAAGCAGTTTTTTTCTCCCATTTTTTTTTCTTTTGACTATCTATGGTATCTACACTAATAGTCTTGAATGGCCCAAACTTGTCTTTAAACTTTTGATGAACCCATCTGCCCTTTCACAACAAATTGTATCTCATCTACAAATAGGTAGGTTTCTATTTGTGAGCCATTTTATGTAAGTATATGTAGATATATTTTATTTAATCTAGAAACTCTGTTAGATATTCCACTGTTTGTCGTGTACATTACAGTTGTTTGAAAGAGCTTTTAAATGTTATGTTTTTGCAGGCATCAGATATCCAGGCAAGAATAGTAGTACTTACCTGGTCCCCACCTTCCAGCTTCGTTAATGGTGAAACAGATGAGACTACCATACCAGAGATCTATGGTTATGAAGTTCTGGTCTCAAGTACCGGAAAAGATGGGAAGTACAGAAGTGTATACGTGTAGGTATTTGTTATGTTTTGGTCTCTTCCATTATGTAGGTTAATGGTTTATCATAAAGAGCTTATTACTAATTTTGTTCTATTCTTCCTTCTTCATGCTTTTATTTTAAATCTATAAGTTGGCCAATGACAGTGATTTCAATATAAATAGTCCCAGTGCAGTCTGGTTCACATTTCTGCCTATGTTCCATCAGAATAATCACTTTCACTGGCCACATTCAGCTTTTTCTTCTCAGTAGCCTCCCTAGTTGATGTTTTAATATTCATGTATTCTCGATGCATTAAATGTAAGTTACACTATGTAGAACCCAGGACCAAAAATGGAGAACTCTCGATTTTGTACTAATGAAATATGGCATTGCTCCTTTAAGGACTTGAATTTAGTTCTTTTGTGTACAATTTCATGTCCTGTTGTAAAATGAATTTAGTAGCAGAGTTCCTCATTTGTGTGTTGGTATGTTAATAATCATGTTTTGAAAACCTATCATAGTTTTCTTTCCTTGGTTAAAAAGTATATTGCACACCGCAAAGCCTTAGAAAGACTCAGTAGCTAATTGTGAAATTTATGACTGACAGTTTTTGAAATAAGTTTATTTTTCTGTCCTTATTCATATGGAAGTTGATTATTCTAATGAAAAAATAGAAGGTAATGCTGAATGTTAGTTATATATATTTAAGCACCAGGAAGATTGTAATGGAGGTGGTTAATTATTTGAATGAACATAATTATCACAGAACACCAGCTACATCATCCTTCTTGGTATCTTTTTTCCAAAAAGTAGCTGGCAAGGAGAAGAAAGGAAAATGAAACTGTCCCAGTGACTCTCATCTAGTCACATAAGGTTATAAAAATTTCTTGCCTCTTCTCTATTGAGATTTCCTTATATTTATTCATTTTTCTTAAAAGGAACAAATAAACCTACCTCCCTAAGAAGTTAAAAGACCATCAACATAAAGGTTTATTTTTGTGTTAATGGCTATTTCTAGTTAGAAATGGCTGCTTGCTAAGAGAAACGATTTATTTCCATTTGCAGCCTGACCAGGGAGCACAAGAGGGACATTAGTCACCTCCC